TATAACACTAATCCAAAAATATTGCAGCCATAGTAGGCATGCAAGGGTTCAATCAAGTAGGAGTTGACTGAAAGTACAGGAAAATAACATTCCAAGATACAAAACACAGATAAACAATTCATAAGAAAACATGTTGTTTCTGCCATGTTTATTAAAGAATATACTTCTATTATGAAATGCCAAGGGCAAGATAAAAATGAAGGAAATAATGGTAAGAGGATTAGTAACAAGCATGCCAAACTGATTGTACTTCAAATGTTCAAGTTTTGTCGGTATAATATTTTATGTGATGATATGATAGCATAATATTGTGATTTAGTTTTCAGACATACATAGAATAAATTAGGATCTTAGCTCAAGTACAATATTCATTCCCAAACTCCATTATAGAGTTAATTCAATATGTGTGTATTTGACAATTGTTCTCATAAAATGATGAAGGTATACAAAAAACAGAGATTGTGATAAATGTTCATTCATTAGTAAAAAGAATGACTTCTGGTGTATGAGTATATATACAACGTTATACATAATCATATGCACAAATGTCAAAACTATCTTCACTAAACCATGTGCATTGATTTGAGAAAAAAGCCTAATAATTTTCAGTCGCCACTTATTTAAGGACTTAGGACTTGGTTTTTGTTAAATTGAACTTAATTAGGGAAATAGTTCAACTTTTGCCGGGATTTTACTGCTTTAGTTTTGAGGCATTTCAGGAAACTCTAGATTCAGTCTTGCTCTAACAAATGTTATATTTCAAAATTATTAATTAAACCAAAAAAGACGACAAGAACTGTTACCTATTTAATTCTGTTGTAGAAAATGAGATCCACTTCTTTGCATGAACAAAATCACTTCAAACAGAAAATGTATATGAACCAGACAGTCTTCCTCTTGGTTTAATTACTGTTACATAAGAGAAAATTACAAAAGTATTGAGCAAACTCCAAGGTATAGTATTAAAGTCCCACATCGCCGAGTTATCAAAGAAGAAAAAACATGTCTGATATAAAAAAGACAACAAGCATGACTTTAAATTCATACCTTTCTCGGCCTTTTGGCTAAGATCAAGTGTAGTATCTGTTCTTATCAGTTTAATATCTGATATGTGGACCAATGGTCCACACGATATTAAATTTATTTCTTGAGGGGGAGAGACCACCAAAATAGCTTGCTATTGGGTCTCTCGAGTGTCGCTTTTGCGTTGCACTGTTGCAATAGCCTGGCACACCCCACCAAACCTAGTTCAAATTCTATGTCCTTCTTACTAGATCCACAATATTTTCTTAAATGTTATATTATTTTTTATTTTTCATCATGCTTCTATGCATATATGTTTTCTTATTTATTTGTTTTGTTCACAACTAGGAATTTTTTACTTAAGAAAACTATATTTGCATTATCTCAAACTACAAATTAAAACATACCCTCAAAAATGTATGAGATTGCAACTGATAATTTTGCTTCCAATCAAGAAATTGGGATCTGACTATAAAACCCTATAATTTGGAGAGAGAGAAAATTGAACAAGAAATCATGTCAAAGAGATAGTCGTAAACTCGATCTGAAACAGTATGTCGACACAAGATTTCACTGGAACAAAGAAAATGAGAGAAACTATATCAAACAAATTCACACAAGAAAAAGGAATTGAAGAGAGGAAGATACTCAATTTTTATGGATCTGAATTAATAGCAGAAATGGAATGATAAAACTGTTTGCTATATTGTGTTATAATACTCAGTCAAAATGAACCACTTCCTAATGGAGACATAAAGGAATAGGAATGTTATAATACTACTTATAATGTTATACAAGCTAACAAATAAAAATTAGAAAGAAAAGCTGAATCCTACCTTCTGCATTTCAAGTAATAACTAATAAAGGAATTAGGCAGTATTTCTTGATCTTTAATCCTTACCTAATTTAGGTGATCATCAAGGATACATATCCTCCTTGCTAGTCAGATCCAATCTTTAATTTCTTCGAGTTTTCGAGTAATCAATAGGGTATATTGATCTGTAAGTACCATGGACTCTAGAGTATTTTCAACTCATACCTTCCTGATTGAGTTTTTGGAAGCATAATATCAAACTTGAAAGGAATGAATAGAAGAAAGTTACTCTATTCATTTTGATTGAGCTCTTTGAAGGACAATGTCAAACTTGAAAGGAATGATTAGAAGAAGACTATATTAGTATCCAACACATAACAAAGTAGTGGATATAAAAAGCGATTGGGCAATAGATGTAATGTCGGGGAAGATGTCCTCAAGACCTATCAAAGGCCTAGGAAATACATTGCTTACTGGTAGTTGATTAATTCCTACTCTTCCACAAACTCCATAATATCATAGCAAAGATACTCCTTTTCTCCTTTGATAGTGCATTTAATATGTGAAAGATTTTCTCTCCAATGTTCCTACCTAGTAGCAGTCTAAATGCTCTTATTACACTGCAGCAGCACCTGCTCTGCTGTCTCCAACTCCAAGTTAGACCACTGACAATCACTAGCCACTTGCACCCCTTTTTCGATCAATCTTACACAAGTTGGGAAATACTTTGCCTACAGGTAGTTGAGTCACACATCGAAAGAAGGTGAAAGGTATTGTGAGAAACAAGAGTATAAAATAACTTGAATACCATCATTGCAAGTTACTTACCTGGATGGGGTCAATGGTTGATCATGAAGGACCATGGCCTAGGAGAGTGACCTCCATTGCACTTAAGAGGGGTGCTAACCTAAGGTCTACCCAAGTGGTGGAGCCTACATCATAATTTGTTGCAATGGGGGCCTGCGTTCGCGCGGCCCCCTCTTATTCCAATTTTCAAATACTTTTTACATCATAACTTTTATGGTTTTTTATATTTTTTATAATAATAATAATAATAATAGTGTTGGAATCTCAATAGGTTGGCAACAAGCAAAATTATAACTTGCCACTGCTGCTTCATCAGGCTCTGATTTTGTTCCCCAAACAAACTCAAATTACTCTAATGCTTCCTGAAGGTAATGGACGGTGAGATCAACTTTTTCTCTCAAACTAGGTGTAGCAGATTATAACTTGCCATCAATAGTTTTAGTCTTAATATAAATATGTATACACCTAGCGAATTTGATGCTTCAAAATTGAAGCATTTTTCCTCCCAAACTAGGTGTTGCAGATTGTAATTTCTTATGGAAAATGTTTTGTTTTTTATATTTTTTACATCATAACTTTTTACATCATAACTTTTATGGTTTTTTATATTTTTTATAATAATAATAATAATAATAGTGTTGGAATCTCAATAGGTTGGCAACAAGCAAAATTATAACTTGCCACTGCTGCTTCATCAGGCTCTGATTTTGTTCCCCAAACAAACTCAAATTACTCTAATGCTTCCTGAAGGTAATGGACGGTGAGATCAACTTTTTCTCTCAAACTAGGTGTAGCAGATTATAACTTGCCATCAATAGTTTTAGTCTTAATATAAATATGTATACACCTAGCGAATTTGATGCTTCAAAATTGAAGCATTTTTCCTCCCAAACTAGGTGTTGCAGATTGTAATTTCTTATGGAAAATGTTTTGTTTTTGCCATGCCTATATTGTCTTTACTAGGACAAAGACACCAATCCTTTAATCCTTATTTAATAAACAATTAAGTAATAGAAGAAATGATTAACCAAATCCAGCACTATGATTTTTGTAGGTATGCATGGTTATATCTTTCAATTGCAAACTAAATTTCATAAAAATGTACAGTAATGGCATATGTGAAATAACAATTCAAGAAAAAAACAATTTTTTGAGTCTTGTAGTTTTACTTGCATAATACCTTCTCTCAAATCATTTTCCCTCAATTCTTTTTTCTTATGACAGTTTTGCATTGGGAATTTTTATCATATCTCAAGCATTTTGATTCAGTCCCAAAATATGGTGTACATTGTTGATGTTGAACATTTTGACTTAATCATTATGGATCAAACAAAAGTACAAGGTTTTACTTTTCAAAATAGGATTTTGAAGTTCATATATACAAAATGTACACACAAAAATAACTTGACCAAACAACCTCAAAGTGTATCAAAGTCATTTTCAAAATTTTAGACAGAAAAGTTGCAAAAAAAAAATCACCAGCCTCTAGAGATTGTTAGAAATGATTTTGTTTGGATAAACACATGAACATAAAAACGGTTTTCACTTCAACCAAACTACCAATTAGGAGCACAAGTATAGAAAATATTATAAGCCAACAAGCTAATTTACAAAGTAGTTCTGCTGTCAAATGTGAGTTATGTCTTAATGTTTAATCACTAAGTGAAAATATTTAAAATTAAGAGGAAGGAAATGAGAGTGTGATCTTCAACTTGTATTCTAATATAATAGCAAGTTTGTAGTAACGAGACTTAATCTGAAATTTTTAATAAAGGTCGAGTATTGTTTGCTTTTCCTTTTTGGACTATGCCAAATTGCAAGGATCCATGGTGTTTGTAAATCAGAGATTTAAGCTAAAGCATTCATAACTTTTTAAGGGCATGGCACCCAAAATGTATGAGTCCCACCCATCAAAAAGAGATGGTTCAGGGGCCTAGGCTCACCAGGTGTTCCTCACGCTATACCCTTCTGTCTAGGACTCACAAGACCCGTGCCTTCGCATAAGTCATGTGGATTCAACTCGTAACTTGGAGCGGGCAGGCCAGCATAGTGCAACCACTAGACCAACATGTTAACCCTTATAGCCATGTTCCATCACCTAGGTGCCCCCACATGGGTCACAAGCTAGCGCTACTCAGCTCGGCAAACTAACAAGCATGTCAAACATTTACGAACACTTTTTTGTGTGATGTTCTAGCCAATGTGGGACTTAATGGATATAAATTTGTATAGGATATATAATATTAAGATGGAACATGTTATAAAACTAATAATTGAAAATATGTGGTTGTAAAGGTTTGTTAAATGGCTTGCTTTGTACTCGGTACTCCCCAACTACTTTTGACATGTCATAACACTAATCATTGAAAAATGTGGTTGAGGGATTTAATCTACATATATAGAGGGATAACTGGACACTCAAAAAGTTAATATCCAAAACCAATGACAAAGTAGTGGAATGTAGCACATACAATTTGTAAAGTGAAAAAACATATATACCTACCTGGTTTAGCTTAGAGTAACAACAAGCAACATTATAACTTGCCACTGCTGCTTCATCGGGATATAGCTTTGTTCCCAAAACTGACTCAAATCACTCTAATGCTTCCTCGTACTTAGCATTCCTTCGGCATTTAAACAAGAAAGTAATGGACATTAGGGTTATCAGGAAGATACCATTATTTTTTTTATTCTAATCTAGATATACTCCTAGCAAATTGGATGCTTCAAAATTACAGCATTTTTTTGCCTCAAACTAGGCGTTGTAGATTACAATTTCATATGAGAATGTCATGTCTATCTTGTCGTTACAAGAAACAAGTCACCAATCCTTAATTTCTTATTCTAATAAGCAATTGAGTAATAAAGGAAAATATTTACTTAATCCAGCACAACATTACGTTTTTTCTTTTTTTGCATTTTTGCATGTATTTTTGTATTTTTGAGTGTATTTTTGTATTTTTGCATTTTTGCATGATTATATGTAATTCAGTATTAAATCCAGGAAAGTAATGGATAACAGTGAGATGCCATTAATTCTTTAGTCCTAACCTATATTACAATTTCATACCTCGAGAAATATAACCATGTGTACCAGCAAAAAAGCTAAAACCCGTCTGAGATATTTCAGCAACACCAAAATCAGCAATTTTTGTCACATAATCTTCATCAAGCAGCTGAAATCCTCAACCATCACCTTTCTCTAATTGCTTCACAACCACTACCATCCTGTTTTTCTTCAGCGTGATTCGATAAACCTTTCCGTTACCACCATGGCCGATTAAATTATCTTCGTCCAAATGACTTATTTCATCAGCACCAATATCCACTTGTGAAAAGATGCTAGTTTCCATTTTTTTACTTGCTTCCTTTTGACATTTTTGTAACTTGTTTGCCCTTTGAATCCTGAAGCTTCTACACATCAAAACCGCGGTGATGAAGATAACAATAATGACCAAGAGCATTACATATTTATAACCAAAGAGAACTCTTCTATGACCATGATCTTTACCACAAATCTTCAAATCAGAATTTATTGAACTTTTTGGAATTTTCTCAACACATGAACCTTTGTTTCAACCAAAAACAGCACTGTGGATGTTAAACATTTTGATTCAGTCATGTCTCAAACATTATGGATCAAACATAAAGTACACTGTTTTACGTTTTAAAAAAGAATTTTGAAGTTCATATATATAAAATGACACCACATGTAATGTACAATAACTTGGTCATACAATATTCACTAAATTAGGCCTCTAATTAGAACTGATAACCTGGTGAGCATGAAATGATATCACTGATCTCAAAGTGTATCAAAGTCATATTAAAAAAGTTGAGATTAACCATCACTGTAATGAATATGATTATTAGCCATTAGTCATGACTATAGGAGAAAAGTCATATAAGTAACTAAATAAATTATTTGAAAGGCTTCTAATGCATTATTATAATTAGCTAAATGGATTACTTGAAAAGCTTATAATGCATTATTTGAGCATGATATTATATCACTAATCTCAAAGTACTAAAGTCATATGTGTTCAAAGGTTATTCTTCTCAAAAATATTAATGCAACATCAAACTCCATAATCTTAAAAGCTCAAAGAGAGAATGGGAAATTACAGTCCCCGTGGCATTACATAAATAAGCATCACATAAACAAAAAATAATACAAGGAAAACAATATAACATGCTCAAACCATGTCCAAGTAACATTACCATGCACATATATTTTTATTCAAACTACAGGAGGCAAATTGGACGGACCATATAAAAGAGGCTTGAATTTCAAGTCTCCCATTCATGTCTTGGGGTCAGAGTGAACCAAAGAAACACCATATAATAAAATAGAGGTAAGTAAAAACTATTGAGCTGTGATTGGTGCCATTAATAGTATTAATAGAAATGGACAATTTTATTGATCATAAAGTTTCTTATGTATCATACTAGTACATAAAACAAGATACTGCAAAGGTGGCAACAAAAAAATTGAGACCTATAATTAACTACAAAATATACACGGCGAAATCAAATGTGATGGAATCATATTGCTCAATCAATTCCTTAGAGTTAAACCGGTTGTTTTCTTGTGTCGACGCAAAGGGGTTATTTCTTAATAAATATTCCAAAGATTGATTTGATGGAATTGATAAATGATTCATGGAATCTTTTCAATAACGGGTCGAATTCTGGGGATGCCCATGCATTTGCAAGGTCAGGATCAGTTCTAATTCTGTGTTAAACATAACAGCATTAATATGAACCAAAAAAAGAGATGGTTCAGGGGCTAGGCTCACCAGGTTATCAGTTCTAATTGTGTGTTAAAACATAACATCATTCATTAATATGAACCAAAAAAAGAGATGGCTAATTTTGTGTTAAAACATGATCCTTAGAGTTAAACCGGTTGTTTTCTTGTGTCGACGCAAAGGGGTTATTTCTTAATAAATATTCCAAAGATTGATTTGATGGAATTGATAAATGATTCATGGAATCTTTTCAATAACGGGTCGAATTCTGGGGATGCCCATGCATTTGCAAGGTCAGGATCAGTTCTAATTCTGTGTTAAACATAACAGCATTAATATGAACCAAAAAAAGAGATGGTTCAGGGGCTAGGCTCACCAGGTTATCAGTTCTAATTGTGTGTTAAAACATAACATCATTCATTAATATGAACCAAAAAAAGAGATGGCTAATTTTGTGTTAAAACATGACCAAAAAAAAAGAGATGGTTCAGGGGCTAGGCTCACCAGGTTATCAGTTCTAATTGTGTGTTAAAACATAACATCATTCATTAATATGAACCAAAAAAAGAGATGGCTAATTTTGTGTTAAAACATGACCAAAAAAAAAGAGATGGTTCAGGGGCTAGGCTCACCAGGTGTTGTGGGCCGGAGGTGCAACGGCCCGTGATCCCCCCACTGTCAGGAGTAGGAAGTGATCGCTGCTCTGTGAAACCAGCCTCACGCAATACCCTCCTGTCTAAGACTCACAAGACCCGTGCCTTCGCACAAGTCCCGTGGGTCAACTCGCAACTTGGAGTGGGCAGGCCAGCATGGTGCAACAACCAGACCAACCTGTTAAGCCTTAGCCATGTTCCAACACCTTGATGCCCCCACATGGGTCACAAGCTGGCGCTACTCAGCTCGGCAAACTAACTAGCATGTCAAACATTTATAAACACATGTTTGTGTGATGTTCTAGCCAATGTGGGACTTAATGGATATAAATTTGTATAGTATATATGCTATTAGGCTGGAACATGTTATAAAACTGATGATTGAAAAGATGTGGTTGTAAAGGCTTACTTTGTACTAGTCACTCCCCCGCAACTTTTGACATGTTATAACACTAATCATTGAAAATATGTTGTTGAAGGAAAAGTGTTAAAAACCGTAATAAGGAAAACTCTTGGTTCAATATTCCCTGAGTTTGTTACTGACTACACCAGACAAAATAAACTAACCATGTTTTTTCTGCATTCTCATGAGTAACAGGTCTATTCTTTGGCGAATTATGTACATTGTTCTTCCACATTCCGCAGTTGGCCGAATTTCGGTCCCAAAAACAGCACAGCACTGCAGATGTTGAACATTTTGTTTCAGTCATATCTCAAATTCAAATAGATAAGCTTAAATAACACAATCCAAACAAACAAACCCTAAGTCTTCAATTCAAATAAGTAAGTTGAAGATGATGATGAAGAAGAATAAAAACAAGAGCGTAAACCTGATTCCTTGAAGCTTCTTCTTTAGATGAAACTTTCACCACAAAAAGGAATGCTTTTGATTTTGAGAAACTATACGAAAAAGGGTTTGTTGGCGGTGGGAACAAAAGAATAGCGAGTGAGAGCTCTATCAATTTGCTACTCCCGCGGAATTTTTATATTTTTCCAATTTTATAATTAATCTATAAATCATTTATTTATAAACTAATTATTTAATAATTTATATTATTGATTTTGTTTTTATTTAATAATCATTTAGGTTTACGTTACTAATGTCGTCATCTTATTCTTCAAATCCTCTTAAGATAGGTTATTCGGTGTAAATATGAACATTATTGTTCTGACTATAAAATAGTTTTGGCACTATAACTTAGAGAACTTGTCAGTACACCCTGGTTGAATCTCATAAATACTCTCATGAAAAGTATCAGTCAGAGGTGTGACCGAAAAATATATGTCCTTAAAAATTTTCAAACTGTCAATATACACTTAAAACATATTTCATTACTACAAATAACGTTTGTAACGTCGGATGCAAAATGCGTTTTACATCGACTATCCAGGCGAGCTAAATAAGATCGTCATGAAAAAACTCAACTTAACACCTCGCTATTTTAAACACCGAGGTTATAATTGAAAAGGTCATGGATTCGATCCATTGGAACTCCATATTTTTATTTTCTACATTTTGTTGCGCGCGTCATATAACTGTCAGTTTTATTTATAATCTGAGGTAATAAGGTATTCATTTACCTCGGTTTTATGTAATAATTGATAGGGATTTAAAATGAAGTTTTTTGGCTATATTTATCAATTTCACTAGCCTGTATCATTTTTTGCATGTACCATTTTCACCGGCCTGTATCGTATCATTATAATAAATCTATTAACCTGCCGGTATCATTTTTTACACAAAAACTACAAAATATGTAACAGAATTGGAATATATCATATCATTTTAAACCAAATGTGCAAATTTACATTGTTATCATCAAGAGAGAGTACACTTGTTTGACATGATCATATATGCGCATCAAAATGACAAAACCTTTGTTTGTATACAGAATAAGATTATAGCAACCAAGAAAAACTATTGTTGTGGTTGTCGAGCTTCATAATGAGATAAGAAGACATTGGCCCGACGTGATCGGATGTCATCAATATCTTCTTTTGATTATGGTTTTTGGATGCTCATCTCCTATAATTAGAACAAAATTTAAACTATGATACCTTCCAATTAGAGAAACATAATCCATTGTCAATTCGTTAGGCTAGCAACATAACTTCCAAATTGATCGGTAGAAATCTCTTGTGGTACATGAGCAGTCTTTAAAATTTTCATTAAAGCTTGTGCCTGAGCTTCGGAACACAGTAGCAGGGATAACATATAGGTCTTGGATGGGGTTTTCCCCAGCTGTTCAAAAAAATTGTAATTGCTTCTATGATCTTCAAAACCTCTTCCATTTCTTATCTAGAGGTATCCTTGATTGTAGCTTCTTTTGGTACCTCCATTTGGGCAGGCTCTATCATTGGCTCTTTACCTCGAGCTTCGGCAGTCGTCTTGGTAATTGTGACTTGAACAGGTGGAGAGATTTATAGGGAGATGATCCTTATGCTTCTTGTTATTTTACTGTTCCCTATAATATTGACAATACTGGGATCAACATATTCATCATCTTCGTTAGACAACTCTTGTTTAATATCAATAGCACTTATGCCTTTGTCATGCTTCGGTATAGGAGCAGTAATCACGTTTGGAGTCTCAAGAGGGTCGAACTCAATTTCCTTGTTATCAATTATGTCTTGGATTTTGTTTTTCAGGGTCCAACCATTGTTGGTGTCGTGCCTGGGACTGTTCGAATGATAGGCACATTTTTCATTTGGATTGTACTTCGGAGAGGATGTGTTGGGATTAGAAGTAGGATCTCTGAGTGTTATGAGGTCAGCGTTTAACAGGTGTGACCGAAAAATATATGTCCTTAAAAATTTTCAAACTGTCAACATACACTTAAAACATATTTCACTACTACAAATAACACTTGTAACGTCGAATGCAAAATGCATTTTACATCGACTATCCAGGTGAGCTAAATAATATCGTCATGAAAAGTCTCAACTTAA